AACAACGCGCCAAAGTGGTGAATACACCGCAGCAAACACGAGGCCACACACACACACCGCGACGAATATTGACGCCCAGTGTGGAGGGTGTCCATGGTTCCCAGGCCCCGTCGCTAGGGGATGGCTACACCGAAGAAGCACAACGAGGGTATACAGGTGCGAGAGAATATGGCACAAGGCGATTGAGGTGTACGGCATAGCGTGCACACGTACACACACAGCAGTAGCAGTGCCATCAACACGAGTCCCATTGCAAAACAGAGGAACTGTTGTTGCAACAACGCCGAAGGTGAAGAAAAAACAGGCATTCCTGCCACGTTCCGTCTGTGCTGGTAGTAGCAGACTCGGCGAATAAAAACAGAAAAAATAGATCGGGAGTGGCATCCCAGAAAAAAACGACACAGTCAGTCCTGGAGACTCGTTGGCCAACGAGGCAATAAATACTACCGGTATCATCCGCTGGCTGCAAAACACGCAGTGCCTAGACTTGCGAGGAAATTATTACATGTGGCGGGATCTGGCCCCATACCTGCAGAAGCCAGGCCACAGTCCCGTCACCCCCGCAGGCTAGAAGCCTCAGGTTAGCCACGTTCCGGAATCGTTGCAACACCTCCAGAGGGTCCTCCTGGCTCAAGTCGATCACCTACGTATGATGACGAAAGTGTGCCGTATGCATACATTGATCCCTTGAAAAAGCACACGTTGGATCTCGTCATCTACGAAGCAACACGAACGCATTTTTATCCCCGGCGGCCCTCGTGGGGGGGGCGCCGCGGACCGGATGTGTAACCCTTTTTCTCGTCATGCAGCCTACGGCAGTGCTCTCATTGGACAACAGGTTAGCGCCGTTGATGCTTGTAACGGAAAGCCATCCACACATGCACACACAGTGCACTCACATCCCCCCCTCCCCCCCTGTGCTCCGTCTCGAAAGGGACGCGTGGTCAATGGTCAAATGACTAAGGCAAGCAACAAATGAGTACCCCCCCCCCCCCCCCGCCTTGGGGGGAGAGCTGTGGTCGGCCAGTTAGGGCGGTCGATGCAAAAAATAAAGACACACAGGGCCTGCGGGTAATAAAGAATAGGGTTCGGGCTGGTGTCCTAAACACAAAAAACAACAACAGGCTGCAAGCACGGCGCATTAAACACACACACACACACACACACCTGTAGAGGGTTGAGAAGCGCCCGGAAGCGGCTGATGAGCACACCGCCCTGCTTGCCCCCCGACTTGGAGTTGACGAACACCAAGAGGGGGCAGCTGTCGTCCGGAATGTTCTCCTCGCAGATGGACAGGGTCACCGACCTGGTCTTGCGAGTGTAGCTCACTGTCGTGGTCGCTTCGGCCCCTTCTCCGCTGCGTTGTAAGTGAGCGTAAAAGGCGTGTTCATCGACCGTACATGGCACATGTTTAGATATATGCAAGTCGCTGGGCAGGGAAAGGCTGTCTGATGGCTAGTCGGGTGGTTGTGCTTGTTGCTCACTGCGGCCAAATCGATTCTCGCAACAGGCTTCCCCTCCCCCAGACCCCCGACTACATAATCTTGTTGTTTGCTGCTATCCGCGCCGTTGGGAAAAAAAACACACACACACACACACACAAAAAAAAAAAACGCACACACCTGGTCTGGAACTTGGGAACCAGCTCTTGCATCTTCACCACCCACTCTTGCTCCTCCTCCTCCTCCTCCTCTTCGTCTTCCTCCTCCGCCGCCATCCCGTCTTCTTTCTCGCCCCCCCCCGTCAACCCCCCCACATTCTCCTCGCAAGCCGCCCCCTTTCCATCCTTCCCCCAACCAGCCACGCCTACCCCGCCGACCTCCTGGTACTCCGGCTTCTGCCCAACGCTTCCGGCCTCCAAGACACCCGGCAAGCCCGGTGGAGCTCCTTCCCCGCTCCCATCAGGATCGCCACCGACAGCGGACGCCGCCGCCGCGTTGTCCGAAGAAGATCCCAAGTTGAGCATTTCTAGGCCGGCTGCCCGCGCTCCCGCCCCTCCCCCATCCTCCGACGAGGCAAAGGGGGTCTTTGCGCCTCCGCCTACGCCTCCGCCTCCGCCG